TGTCACCGAGGTAGTAGATGCTACCTGAAACATCTGACCGTTTCCGAAAGCGCATCAAATTGCCTGAGTAACTTTTTTGGCGTACATGTGCCGTGCTTTTACCGACTTGATAAATATCTGCAATGTTAGTGATTTTGTTTTCACTGACATTGTGGAAGGGGCTTATGATGTAATTCAATCGGGTATTACAAAATTTCCACGCTCAATTCGGTGCGTACCGTTTCCAAAAGCACATCAAATTGCTTGAGCAACTTTTTGGCGTACATGTGCCGTGCTTTTACCGACTTGCTAAATATCTGCAATGCTGGTGATTTTAATTTTCACTGACATTGTGAAAGGGGCTTATGATGTAATTCAATCTGGTATTACACAATTTTCACGCTCGAGCTCAATTCGGTGCGTACCGTTTCCAAAATAAGCACATCAAATTGCTAGAGCAACTTTTTGGCGTACATGCTTTTACTGACTTGCTAAATATCTGCAATGCTGGTGATTTTAATTTTCACTGACATTGTGGAAGAGGCGTATGTGTACTTCAATCGGGTATTAGACAATTTCACACACACTTCGGTGCGTACTAATTTAGACTTGGCCCCCCTTTCAATCAACTCTCAAAACCACTACCCAGGCTCCTGCATGCAGCTGTCACTGCACAAACATGAAACACAACAATCTAACAAGTGAGCCACCCTAAAACAATACTTCCGTACCCGGAAGTGCTAAGTAAAAGGCACGTACCTGAGTAGGCCTTGCCCTGGGTCCTACAGTGTTCGACACAGTCGGCGTTGACCATGTCCTGGGAAGTCCCGCTGGCAGTGAGGCCAATACTTGCCGTGTAGCAACCTTTGTAGCTCTCGATCTGTGCGGAGATAGCGCCTATCCAAGGGATATGGATTTTTTTAGTAAAAAAACTTATCCGACAACGTAAAACAACAGAAATATCAACGACATCATTATAACATAAAACACACACATTAAATTACACATTACATACTATCCAGACAGCTCCCTCCTTATTATGTAGTGACTGATTAAATCATTTTGTTTGCGTGCAATCTAACTCTTGTATGGATTTGAAATGGATATGGAGATAGATTAGCGTCAGAAGGGAAACTTTCTAACTGCATCATGAAATGCCATTCTTCGTATATATCTACATGCAAGGCATCAGATTTGTATTTATCATGGGCTTAAAAGACGTTAATAAGATCATAAACGTTCGATAAAAAGCTTGCATGTTATAAAGTTTTCTACAAAGGTTGGAAAACAACTTACCGATAGTGATCAGAAGGACGAATGCTGAAAGTGCCACCATCTTGAACAGGACTAACGTAACGCTTCGACTGACCGAGACTTCCACTGTCGACTCAAGAACTGACAGAGAATCCGTTTGTCGTCCCTTTCAAACCCTTCTGGCATGAATTGTCTGTCGACTGATCATGACTTGAATGATTTTAGTGTCTGGGACTTGTCTGGCTTATGGAGCTTCTATTGTACTGCAAATTATCAGAAGGTTGTCTGTGGTAAAACAATGTACATGAATCGACACAGCGTTGTCTGACAGTTTTCTTTAACGTGGAATAGACTACGTGCCTGTATTAACAAGACTGTAACAATTACAGTGTAAGTTGTCTGTTCAACCGATTGACTGCTACATTTCTCTGTATGATAGAAAACACGTGCATCTGCATTGCTTACTTTCTATTAAGATATTGTCCCTTTGCACAAGAAATCAGTTGCCTGCTGAAGAAACAGGATAGGTTTTGAAAACTGTCAGGCGTTTCAAGTGGAATCCACTACTTCTCGTCAATGACCAACGGAATCTGTAGATGAACAACTTTGGTACGAGAATGATAATAAACCAATAACTTGAGTGTGTCGACACCATGCATTGTTAATAAGCGTTACAAAACTGCGATAATATGTACTTTTATTTTGAAAGTGCATTGTCCAGGGCAAAATGTAATTACGATGTATAAAAAGAGGTGTCGTCCGCGGTGACGTAGCTGTTGCGTCTTCGGCTCGGAACCAAGAGGTCCCGAGTTCGAACCCCACCCATGTCACTGATCTTGTGCCCTTGGGAAAGGCACTTTACACAGCTTTCTACACTTCACTCAGGTGTAAATGAGTACCTAACTTCGGTTAGACGAAAGAAGATTGAGAAGGGTGACAAGCGAAGCGAGTGACTAAGAACATCTTCGAGATAACTATTTTTTGGGGTTGACTTTTGTAAGAAGTAGTGGAAGTCCCACTTTTTCTGTAGTGAGTGGGTTTTGTTAACAGGGTTGTAGTTTTTCTTTCGCCAGTAAACGATTTATTGTGGTGGATTTCGATGTTTTTTTTCTTCCACAATCTTTGAAGTGATGATAGTTGGCGATCAAAACGATTCAAATCATTTTTCTCGGTTCTTCAAGGAAATGCTTGAAAGTATATTCTAAGAAGGCCCAGTCTTGTGAGAACACAGGAAATATGAGTTGTATTTTGAGGGTACTTGGAGTTTTATCAGAACATGCATGACCGTCTGCATGATCCAAGTTTGAAACGAAGTTGTCGATACAATATGTATTTTTTTTAATCATTTATTTCTCGATAGATAGGTACAGATGATGTATATGGTAGAAAAACGTTCCCTTAATAATGAATTCACCCATTTTTCTTTGTCAAATTTACTATTTTTGACAACCATGTCTGCACCGTCTACTGGTATATTTTCAATGCAAAAATTAACTCTGTTGCCGTTGATTGCTTTAAGAGAGTACATACAACTTCTAGTACGGTGATATTAGGTTGGTTTAAGTTTTCGCAGTCAAAAGTTGTTTTAAAATTATGACCTTAATGCTGAAGTACTAGTATTAAACACCAAAAAGCAAAAGAAGCTAAGTAACATCTTATCTAAGAAAAGTAAGAATTAAAAATAGCGACGTCTGTTGGATCTGCAATAGTGGATCTTGGCAGCCATCATTCGTTGACGTCACGTAGTGGCGGTGGCATACACTAGTAATCACCTCGACAACCTGAAAAGATAGACACAAGGAAAACACCATCAATTGGGTTATTTTTCGACCGACGGTTCATGTACATGTTACACATTGGGTTCTTTTTGCTTTCTATTTAATTTACTCATCATAGAAACTACCATAACCACATTTACATACCCGCGTCAATTAGGAGTTTTTGTAATGTTTAACTGTTTTTTCCAGTTCTTTAAATTACATGTGATATGTGTTGACTATAGTTCTGTCAGTTCATTTTCAGCGACGCTGAAGAAGATTGATGGATGTCAATTCAAAAAGTTTCCGTAATTTATCCAGTAGTAGGGTTCGAATTGTATTTGACTCCCCTCCGCAGTTACAAGTCTTGTTTTGTCGTACACAGATGTTACTGTTCCTTAACCCCATTATGTGAATGTGTACATTAGTTTTATTTATCTACCTTTCCATCCTTCATTTTTCCCCTTCTGGACCGTGAACGCCGTTCTCATCCACGTCCCTCTTACGGCGTGCGGCCTCGGCCTGGCGGCGGGACTGTAGAGCCTTCAGGGCGGCCACCTCGCCGTGGGTACCGGGCGGCCCGCTGCGGACTGAAGCCAAACAAGCGATTAGCCTGGGTGCCAGACTGTTGTCAGGGCGTAGTATACGTACAGACTATTAGTAATCGGTGTCTCTCCAAAGATCATCGCCCTCTTTCAGCTGTTATACAGCGATGCAGAAAGCTGCGTCCGTGTAAACGACAAGAACTCAGAGTGGTTCCAGATCAACAGCGGAGTCCGTCAGGGTTGTGTTGCTGCCCCCGACCTTTTCAACTGTGTTGTTGACTACCTTATGTCTAAGGTCTCCGAGTGCGTCCCAGGAGTCTCTTTTGGCGGATACAGTCTTGCTGATCTGGAGTACGCCGACGACACGACCTTGCTGGCTGACACTCCCCAAAGACTCAGGGATGCCCTGGCAGTTTTTGATGCAGAAGCCGCCAAGCTTGGCCTTAGTATCAACTGGTCAAAAACTGAGTTGATGCACATAGGGGATGGCCCTGACCCTGCACCGTTAAGCTTTAACAACATCACAGTAAACTTCGTGTCCACCTTCAACTAACTCGGGTCTACAGTCTCCAGGACAGGTGATCTGAAAACCGAGATTGACCGACGGCGTGGACTAGCAGCAGCGGCCATGCAGGCGCTCTGGAGACCGCTCTGGAAGCACAGACACATCTCACTAGGCACAAAGCTTCGTGTCTACAACGCCGCGGTGGTCTCAATCCTCCTGTACGGAGCTGAGACCTGGCCACTCAGCAACACTCTGGCAGCCAGACTCGACGGCTTCGACAGCAGATGTCTCAGGAGGATTCTGGGAGTACGCTGGTTCGACCACCTGCCTGGCACCGAGCTCAGGCAAAGGACCCAGCAGCCTCCTGCTTCCCGTGTGGCAGCGATGCGCCGAGTCCGCTGGTACGGTCA